GTTCGATTCTCCAACGATCAAACCATCGAGCTGGAGAAGAAGTTCGAGACGCAGAAATATCTGTCTCCGCCCGAGAGGAAGAGGCTGGCGAAGATGCTGCAGCTCAGCGAGAGACAGGTGAGAGCCACAGCACAGCATTCAGCCTTAAAACATCATTCAGACAAAAAATTATCTCACGAATCACATCTGCTTCTGTCTGCAGGTCAAAACATGGTTCCAGAACCGCCGGGCGAAATGGAGGCGCCTGAAGCAGGTGAGAATCGCGTCTTATTTACCGTCTAGTTCGGTAATGTTCATTTGTGTCAAACATGCTTCAGTGAACCAATTTTAAATATTTAATTTTTAATTAATTAGTCAAACAAGTTTACAGTTTTTTTTATTATTTAAGGGGAAATGTCTGTCAACAGTTTCAGTATTGTGTGTTTTTCAAGTGTTTTCTGTTTATTTACAGTTGTGAATTGCATTATGGGATGTTGATCTCTGCTCTGTCGATTTTTAATGTAGAAAATTAAAGTCTACAGTTTAACAAAGTGACTTTTATTGACAATTTAATAGTTTAAAATATGATGTAGGCTTTAAGAAACAATAGAGAAAATTAAGTCTGTGAAATAACAAACAAAAAGGCAGTTTAATGTCAGTAAAATACAACACAAACCCAGACAATATAGCACTTAAACGTTTAAAAAATGTTCACAAAAGTCACTTTTTCGATCGAAATATAAATAAACGGGAAGAAATAAAAGCATAAATCAAATAATACGGAAAACTGCTTTTTAGAGATTACTTATACAGTCAGTAAATGACCTAAAGTAAGCTCTGATCAGATATTATTTTAGCATATGAGTGATTCACAAAGATGACCTATTTTTAAAAATAAAACAAATGGTGGCAGTTTGCTCTCCCCAATAAATGGATACCCATAAAAGACCAGCCTACACTTATTATTTTATATTCATATTGTTATTATAAAATGTTATAATGTTATATATTTTCTGGCTACATCTATTTTACAAATAAAAAACAGTTATGGCGAACACTTACGGTGTCTATCGATGCTTTGGATCTGCTAAATGAATTTCCCGCGCATAGACTGCTTTGGCGCGATTTTGCATTCACAATGGTATGAACCATTATAGGGGTGTTGAAATGTATATATTTATTATCTAATGTTTTAATAGGCAAATTTTTTATTACTATTTAAGATACAACAGACCTAACTATTTTTCCTAAATCAAATCGTTTTAAATAGGCTATTCGTTTAACAAAAACAAAAACTGAAACAAGGGAAAAGTGGAATAGGCCTACATTGCCAACGAAGTGGGTAATTTCACATTTAATTACAAAGAAAAAGCACACAATACTGGGTTAAATGCGCAATAGGCCTGCCTATTTTCCTTTAAAACGTCCTCTATAAATCTTTCCTTTAACAACAATATACTTGCTATTGACCTTAATACTCGCAATCGTCATATTAATAAACAGATATGTTAATTTGAATAATTAAAAAATTATAAGTTTAACGGTGCGATTTGTTTAATTACAATAAACTGGTAATAATTACCACAACCATGAAAACAGCCTACATTTTTAAGTGAAGAAATATAGGTGCCGAATAGTTTAATATTAATAGTTTTTTTTAACCAAAACCAAATAATTTATAGCCTAATTGTTTAAAAGCCTCGGGTTTAAAGTTTCTGTAATCGTTGTAGGCTATTTAGAAATTCTGTGTAATGTTTTTATTTATTAATTTTGTCTTTTGATTTCATTATTCGTTTTGACTGTTTGTAAAGAGAGTTTATTATTGCAAACTTATAACGAAATTCAAAATGAAACAAAAATAATACAGTCATGGTGGATGAGGAGATTCACATTGAATAAAGCGCTTTGAGTGTCTAGAAAAGCGCTATATAATTGTAAGGAATTATTATAATTATTTATTTAATTCTAAACGTAATCGAAATAGAATTGAATAGAATAGAAATTAAGGCAAATTTAAACATTCGAATAGCTAGGCTAATGGTTTGCAGTTGTCAAATTGTTCATTTTGATTGTGCAGAACTATTAGTAGGCCTGCATTTTGATTTTGATTATTTACATCTTTATGTAATAATTATTTTATTTGCTTAAGGATCAAATTCTGAAACATTATTAGGATTTAGAATAGGGGAAACATTTACATGTCATCGACGCTTTTAAGCAAATAAGCGATACAACAAGCGGTTTATCAAGGAGATAAATATTCAAAGTGTAAATCATTAGAAAAGATCAAAGCCTATATAACCAAAATATTTTAGTAATTGCAATAAATTTACTACAGCGTGCAGTGTTTCAGGCTATACCATATATAGTGCTTAACTGTATTCTGTAATTAAGTAAACTGATAAATAAGTAGGCTATATTTTAGTTTGAAGTACAGGGTTTTAACTGTATTAGCTGTAGAAAACTATAATATAGTCATTAATAGAGTCATTTGTTTATTACTATAGTTTTGATTGATAGCTTTGATAACAGATTTGGTTGAATAGCAATATATAGACCTAAATTATTATAGTATTTTTAATTGAGTTTTCAAAAAAGTTAGAAGAAAAATAAACTAGTAAATTAAATTCACGCGGAATTGTGTGTGTGTGTACGCGTTTTTGTGACATATCGGGACAAAAATGTGTATAATGTCTTGGGTATAAATATGACACAGGTATTACAAGGAATTAATAA